AGATGAAGCCCTTCAGGATGCTCCAACCATAGCCCAAGAGCCCATGAGCCAACTCCTCCTCTTCCTTATAAGGAGTCACATCCACACTCAATGAAGCCACACCCTAAGGTGTAGCTATCACCCCAAGTCCACTGGCTGAACAAGATGCCACTACACAACTCTGTGTGCTTGATTGAAGAGAATAACTCTGACAGAAAAGGGCTATGCTTCACTGATGAGGGATGTCCTTCTGTATATGTTTCTCTGATTTGGTTGATGAATAAAACACTGGCCAATAGAGGCAGGAAGATAGGTGGGATTAGGAGAAAAGGAGAATTCTGGGAAAGGTAGGCAGATAGAGATTGTGAGGAGACACCATGTAGCCAAGGAAGGAGTAACAAGTCTGGACCCTTCTCCAGTAAGATAAGACCACATGGAAATACTTAGATTAGTAGAAATGGGCTGATAATTAAGAGAGAGCTAACCAGTGGGAAGCCCTAGCCATCGGCCAACAGTCTAATAATTGAAGCAGCAATGGGACCAGGCTGGAAAGAAAACTCCAGCAACACTTCATTCCAGAGTTAATAGCATTAACTCCCAAGGTTTACAGCATCTGCTCCAAGGTTTACCAAAGCTTTACTGCAGAGTTTATAGTATTCACTCGTGGGTTTACAGCCTTCATTCCAGAGTTTACACCATTCACTACACAGTTTACAGGAGCTCCACTCCTTTAGGTTGTGGGAACCTCAAGACAAGCTCTCAAAACACAGCAGCAATGCCAATAAATGTAAAAGGAAGTGAGGCTGCATTCCAGCTACTCAGGAGTCTGAGGCAGAAGGATTTTGAGTTTGAGGTCAGCCTGGGCTGCAGAGTGAGTTCAAGGTCAGCCTGGTCAACTTAGTGAGCACCCCAAGCTTTCATAATGACAATGAATGGTAGAACATCTGTCTAGCATGTACAAGGTACTTAGTTCAACACCCTGTGCTGAAAACCAAGTGTTAAAAGGATTAAGGAATTCCATGTCTAATCAAGACAAATTTCAGGGTTCCTTTTAAATTTTTTATTTATGTGTAGGAGCATTTGCCTGCATGTGTCTGTGTACCACGTGCATGGCTGCTGCCATACAAGGCAGAAGAAGGTGTTGGATCTTCTAGAACAGGATTTACAGATGGCTGTGAGGTACCACGTGGGTGCTGGGAATCAAACACTAGTCCTCAGTGAGAGCAGCTGGTGCTCTTAACCCACTGCTTTGCTTTGATTATTTGGAGACTGGGTCTCAGTACTTAACCCAGTCTGGCTTGAAACTCAGAAATCAGAGATCTGCCTGCCTCTGCTTCTCCAGTGCTGGGCTTGAAGGGTGCTCCACCACCTCTGGGTCAATTCTATTTTTAGGACCAAAAGACTAAAAATAAGAACATGCCTTCTCATCTTGGGACCCATTGGATCAATGACCTTGGAAAGACAAATTTACTAAGTGCTAACAAACATTTACCTTATCATTTTATAAATGTGGGCAACAACTGACATTAAGTATCAGTTCCAATGACTTTGACCCCCAATATAAATTCTGTTTCCATATCACTTTATTGCAGTGATTAAATTTATTGACTGATAAGAAGTATTTTTTATTCTGACTTCTCCTTCAAAGTAATTAATAAGCCTATTTCAAGACTATGCAATCTGGTGCATTTATTATACTGTATGTATACTAGCTGGGGATGGTAGCCCAGGCTGCTCATCCCAGCACTCAGGAGGCAGAGGCAGGTGGATCTCAGTTTGAGGAGTATATTATTTTAGTAGTCATCAACCTTAATAGTGCTGTAGACCCCTTTGGGAGTCTTGTGAGGCCTAGGGAACCATTTTGAAAATGGTGAAATATATTGAAATAATTGTTAGAATAGTTAAAATACTTGTGATATTAATGTATAAAATGTATTTAGACAGGATCTCATTATATATCCTGGCTAGCTTGGAACTCACTGTGTAGGACAGGCTGGCCTCAAAGTAATTAGGCTGGCCTGTACTTGCTCTGTAGCCCAGGCTGGCCTTGAACTCACAGAGATCTGGGACTGAAGGTGTGTGCACCACTGTGCCGGGTTTCCAGGGATGTAACACTTATCCAGTCTCTCTCTGTGCGACTCTGATGGGTGCAAAGTCACATTACATAGTCTCCTTTTGCTTCTGTGGAAATTGAGTAAGACAGTTGATCAAGCACTTCCTGATCATGTGTATTATTGTTTCCTAATGTTCTTACCAATTTCATGTGAGTCACTCTATACTCGGTTGTAAATTGCCATTTGTTTTTTGTTTTTTTTTCTGTTTCAGTTTTTCAGCCTTCTGCTATATTTGTTTACGGGGTCCTTTACTGAATAAAACTTGATCTTTATGTGGCCAAGTTTGAAGGCTTAAAGGTTTTGAAAGGGGCTTTTTGGTTGTTTGAAACAGTGCTTCTATGGCCCAGGCCACTCTCAAACTCCCAGCAATCCTCCTGCCTTAGCTTCCCAAGCACTGGGACTATAGGCATGAGCAGTCATCTGGCTTCCTCTGTGGAATGCCTGTTTAAGGTTTTTCCTTGCTTTTTTCGAGGAATATCTGTCTTCTTATTGAGTTTTGGGGCAGTTAAATATACATTATAGATCCTTATCCTCCGGGAAGTGTTAGCGCCTGCTATTCTGGGGCTTTTACTCCTGTGCTGGAGAACACTGAAGGCAGGAGACACATCTATATGCAGGACTGGGGGTGAGCACAGCATGGCTGAAGGGGTGCCAGGACACTGATAGCATCTTCGTCTACACCCACTCTGTCTGCCATAAACACCGCTGCCCCCATCATTTAAAACCCGTCCTGGGCTCTTGCCATCTGGAAAGAAACTTTCTCAGGCTACCCAGCTCACCCCTCCCTCTAGACTGTTAGTTTTTTCAGTCTTGCCACAGGCCCCAGGTCCTAATTGTGTGTCACGGTGTCTTACACCTGTTGATTTCCTGTCTCCTTCACTAGAGTGTGAGAACCTCAAGACAGGCACCTCTCATTGCCAGGTGGTGCCCAGGGTGGGACCTGTCACGCAGCCTTCATTACCACATGGATTAACGCTTGTTGAACCCTTGCTGGCACCAAGTGCTGCCCTAAGAGGTGCATGTGGCTCTGCTTGGTTCTGGCAACCACCCTGGGGCTGGGCATGGCTCAATGGCTAGATCAATCCCTGCTCTTTCAGAGTTTGGTTCCTAGAACCCACATCTGGTGGTTCACATCCAATTCCAGAGACTCTGATGTCCTATTCTGGCCCCCCTATGCACCCATGTGTGTATAGCATGCACTCATACAGACACAAACACATAAATAAAAATCAGGGGGAAATCTTATAAGAGAACAATAATCCCAGGAACTAACTACTCTATCATTTGGTGTTCCAGGGTTGACAGAGACAAAGCTCATACAGGCCTAAGCTAGCGGGGAGTGTACTGGCTCCACACGGGGCAATCTAGACATATGCTCTCAGGCCTGACTAGACTCAGAGACAGCTTCTTCCCTTTTATGCTCTCAGCCTTGTGTCTCTGTAGGTGGCTTCACTTTGCAAGCAAGCTCTCTGGACCAGAGGAAGCTGGCTATCAGCCCTGTAGCTCCATCTCAGCTTACCAACCACAGTGCCAAATGCATTCCAGGGACTCAGCAGAAAGAGGAGGCTTCTGATTGGTTGTGCTGCCAATCAGGAGCTCTCCCCTGAAAGAATCAAAACAAAAGATGTAGAAAAGTCTCTCTGAGCAGAATTGTGGCCTGGTGGATCTCATCTCATCATGGGACATGTGGCAGTATTTTGCTTGTGCTCTAACAAATAAAGCTCTCCTGAAGATCAGAGCGCAGAGCTAGCCACACTAGTCAGCCATAGAGGCCAGGCAGTGGTGGCTCACACCTTTAATCCCAGCACTTGGGAGACAGAGGCAGATGGATCTCTGTGAATTCAAGGGCACCCTGTGCTACACAAAATTGGTCCAGTCTAAAAGAGAAACTGAGCTCACACTTGGAGTGACATACCTTAATCCCAGCACTAAGGAGGTGAGAACAGGAAGGGATATGACTGGGCAGAGAGAGGAATGTAAGACTGGACGAGGCAGGAGGATCTAATACCCTCTTCTGACCCTCCATAAGGACCAGGCAGAGGCATGGCAAACAGACATTCATGCATACAACAAAAATAGAGACAGAAAATTTTAAAAGAGAGAGAATATGGATGCTATTTTAAAAAACATCTTGCCTGGCGGTGGTGACATGTACGTTTTATCCCAGCACTCAGGAAGCAGAGGTATGTGGATCTCTGTGAGTTCAAGTTCAGCCTGGTCTACAGAGGAAGCTCTAGGACAGCCAGGGCTACACAGAGAAATCCTGTCTCAAACAAAACAGAACAAAACAAAATAAAACAAAACCCCGAAAACAAACAAAAAAAACAACCAACTTCTTTACTCTCTGCCTTCAGGAGTGATGGGCTCCTTTCCTTCCTGCTTGGCCCCTTAATTCTCTCCCTCTCTCTCTCTTTCTCTCTCCCCCCTCTTGTGTGTGTGTGTGTGTGTGAGTGTTTGTGCATGATATGTGACTGTGGGTGCATGCCTACCATGGCAAGCATGTGGGGGTCAGTGGGCAGCTTTGTAGAGTCGTTTCTCTCCTCCACCTTTGCATGCTGGGGCTCTAACTCAGGCTGTCAAGCTTGCTGGTGGAGTGAGCACTTTTCCTGCTGAGCCATCTGGCCAGGTCCTTTCCTCTTTTCCTCTCCTCAGGGTGGGGTGCATAGAATAGACTACTCACTGAATTATCTTCAAGGCCTGCTGTGCCGAGGACATTGTCACCCTTTTCCCGGTTGGAATTGCACTTGGCCCCTAAACATTTATCAGAACTGCTGACCTGTCTTCATACTGCAAGTCCCCATCCAAGGAGAACGTGCAACTGGATGGGGAATGCCCAGTGCCAAGCTGGAGGGGTAAGAGCCTCTGGAGATATGGATAGAGGGGGGTCAGGACCTAACGGAGGGAGATATGGGGGGGGGGCTGACGCAAGCCTTGCCCCTGGGGCATCGGAACTGCCAGGTATGGCTTCAACTATATATGGTTGAGAGCTGACAGTACTGGATGCAGAGGTGTCTGCATGCGGGGGAGATGCTGCTCCATTCTCTTCCTCTCTCCTCCTGCCTTCTTTTTCCCAGTCCTTAGCACCACACAAGCCCTCACTCAGAGAAGCTGCTGATTCATCTGGCACACTGGCCATCTGGCAACACCTGGAATTTGGCCCATTCTATACAATCTTGGCCAAGTCACTTGTAGACAATAACCGGGTTAAAGTGTTCCAGATTCTCCCTGTACGACATCATCATCTCATGTTCGCAACCTCGAGATGTTCGCAACCTCTGACAGGCGTGTGTCCACTCTGGAGACAAGGAAACCAAGGCCCAGAGAAGCAGTGCAGCTCTACCTGGTTGTGGAGAGAGCTAATAAACAGACCTGGAGTCTAAGCCGGAGCCCACTTTAATCCGAAGTTTCCATGCTCCTGTGCTACTGTAGTCAGAGGAAACTGCCAGTGTTCATCAAGGAATCAGCTAACATTTGTATGGAACAACTCGGGTATAAATCCACTTCTGGTACCACCAACCCAATGTCCATGAAGAGAAAGGAAGGCCCGGCTTCCTTCAGCTGACGTGCTTTTAAATGCTGGGTTAGGACAGGGAGGAAATGAAGACAAACCACTGAAAATAGACATTTCCCCCACGATTTGCATACCTTCTGACTTGGCACACTATCATGGTTGCCCTTCAGCCTCATCCCTTCCCTCAGTTTAGAGACAGACAGAGAGAGAGAGAGAGAGAGAGAGAGAGAGAGAGAGATTAGATATTCCAAGAGCTCTGGACACTTTGAGCTCTGAGCTCAGGTCACACAGACCCACCCAGAATTCTCCTCCCTTGGGCAGTGTTTGTCTACAGTCATTCACTGAGGTGGCACGGCGCCCTGTGACCCACTCATGATCCATGTTCGCTTTAAAGGAGACTGACTCACTCGTGGGCACCACACATCGGTCCACCCTGGGACTCCCCAGCTCAGCCTAAAGGGCATATCTTCTGGGCTCCCGCCCTGGGAGCCTCCAGGTTTCTGGTGTCGCGCAGGGACACACCCCAGGGGAGGAGCCACCTCTCCCGGCCAGTGCAGGCAGACCGCCAGCTTCAGTTTCCTCTCCTCCAAGGCAGACAGCTCATTCACCACCAACCGGACCAACGTGTCCCAGGAACGCCCCTCCTGTGCTATGGAGCCCGAGCTCGTCCAGCGGTTGCTGCTGTCCTCTCGGGAAGCAAAGAAGTCAGCCTACTGCCCCTACAGCCGCTTCCCTGTAGGAGCTGCCCTGCTCACTGGGGATGGGAAGATCTTCTCTGGTAAGGGCTGGCGCCGTGGTCTCCTCCCTGGCAACCGGGATGGGGCTCAGGTACTCTTGGAGAGGGGAGCAAGCAGTCCCCTCCTCACTGGGCCTATCTGGCCTCCTGCCCAGGCTGTGGGGCAACTCAACTGCTGTTCTACACAGTGGTTCTCTGTTCTTAGAAGTCTGGGATGGGGAAGGGAGTTTGCAGGTGAGGCTGAGGGAGAGACCAAAACCAAGACTCCCCGTGACCTGCATGCAGGTCGCTAGAGGATTAACGCTTTCAGAATGTCCTGCACACCTGGCATGCACCTGTTCCTCTGTAAATTCTTCCTCTAACCTGCTGACCTGGGTTAGATCCATTTTTAGATGAAGAAGCTGAAACCAAGAGTCAAGTCCTAAGTCACAGGAGGCCCTGGTAATGGCACCCAGGCTGGAGGCCCCCAAAACCTCCCTTTCTTACTGTGGCTGGCAAGGAATGGGCATCTGGTATAAAGTCTAGGAGAGGATCCAGCAGTCTGCACTGAGTTAACACCGGTCTGTCCTGAGCTCACCTAGGCCAGAGTGGCTGCAGCTGGTGGTGGGATGCTTGTTCACATGCACCAGGGTCTGGGTTTGGGAGGAGGGCAAGAAGAGAGGAAAAAGAAGGAAGAGAGGGAGGGAAGGGAGGGAGGAAGGGAGAAATAAATCTCGGTAAACTTAAGATATGTCATGGACAGGAGGCAACTGCAGTGCCCCTTTGTATGTCTTGTTGACTGAGGTTCTGTGGTGTCCTGAATCACTTGGGTGTTGTGAGACACTTTTCCTTGGAAGATGCAACACATGACTGACTATTCACCCCCAGATAGAGAGTCCAAGACAGACCAGAGTGCAGACACCTCCAAAGTCTAACTCGGTGAACCAATGAGTTCTACTGGGGTGACTTATAGGAATATGGGTGCGGGGTCGCTTATAGGCACAACAATGACTCAAAGACAGCTGCATCACCAAGGCCACACCAGGACGGGTGACAGCTCACAAAGCTGGGAACCTGGAGCACAGGGCACAGCCTGCAGGCAGCTCCGCAGGTTGGAGTGTCCTTTTCATGTGGCTTGCTTGTTCTAAGCCTCTTGCAGGCAGCTGGTCTGGTCTCCGAGTCTTTGCAATTCAGCCTCTTTCATCTGAGAAAGATTCTCATTTTTTACTGTTTACTCTGGCAGGAAGAGGGCTCTGGTCCGTTTCAGGGAATTCCAGATGGGGTTAATGGAGTACATGAGTACATACATGGCTTGGGCCAGGACTGTAGGAACAGGAAGAGGAGGAAAGAGATCTGGGGTAATCTGCCAGTCAGCAAAGTGCTGATCTCCAGAACCCACATAAAAAGCTAGGCTTGGTGGTACTCACTTGTAATGGCAGTGCTGGGTAGATGGAGACAGATGGACGTGGGGGCTCTCCGGCCAGATAGCCTAGCCTGATTGGCAAGTGCTAGGTCAGTGAGAACAAAGAACAATGTGGATAGTGTCCGAGGAATGACACCTGAAGTTGACCCAGCCTGGCCTCTATACACATGCAGCAGTACACACACACACACACACACACACACACACACACACACACTCGGGAGGGAGGGTTGTGAGAGATACCCAATTGAATGAAAGAGAAGTCTTTGGCCCAGAAATTTTCAGTCAGGTGGAGCAGGGAAGTGATAAGGTAAGTGGCCAAAGGCAGAGCTGGTTTGTGCTAGGGGCAAGGTGGGCAGGGACCAAGAGCAAAATTAGAAGCTACAGTGGAATGAGGAGTTAACTGTGTGGGAGATCCCTTGAAATCTCACAGCCAGTGCAGGAGGAAGGCAGGCAAGTGCTGTGGTATTAGTTAGGAAGCTTTCCCTTGTCGGTGACAAGCCTGCAGGGTAGCTCCAATTTCAGGACAGGCTGACCCAGGAAATCAGGTACCATGTCACTCTGTTTCTCGAGACAGGGTTTCTCTGTGTAACAGCTGTCCTGAAAATTGAGGCAGAGGCTGGCCTCAAACTCATGAGATCCGGCCGCCTCTGCCTCCGAGTAGTGGGATTAAAGGCGTGGGCCACTAGACCTGGCATGCCACATGGCATTCTTACGATGGGTGCTGCTTGCTTTCTGTTGCCTGGCAGATGGGTCTCTACCCACTAGGGGACAAGGACACAGGCAGGTTTCTGCTCTTCATTCTTACAGCCATTGTACCCAACTTTAGATTGCACTCCAAACTCAAGCTCCTTGGGCAGATCCTTGCCGCAGGATGGATGAGCAGAAATGTTACCATTTAACTGAGAGAGGGCCCTTTTGTCTACTAGGATGCAAAAGTCACAAGCAGACCAGGAGGGATGCTCTTTTAGCTTGGTAGTGCTGGGCCTTCTAGTGCCCATAGCATGTGGTGTGGACAGACTGACACAAGGGCTTAGCGCTCCAAGTCCACAGAACTAAAGACTTGTGCTCCCCAACCTATAATGCGGAGATTTAGTTTTAGGCGTTCACATGGGCGATGTGTGTCTCTGGGCTTTGATTGCCTGTAGCCTGGCTGGTGCTCAGCAGCTAGTGAGTTCCAGTATGGCAGCCTTGGCCTTTAAGGCTTGTCCACTTCCTAGAACTCTTAAGTCTGAGGCAGGCATTACTTCATCCCTGGCTTTTCACAAGCTTCTGCCTTTTCTACACTTGTCTCGTTATCTGCCAGCTGTTTTTGTTGTCTCCTCTTTGCATTACCAGCTCACCTTGCTCTACCTGTGATAGCAAGAGTCTCTACCTGCCATAAACACTGCAAGTATGCAAAAAGAAAAAAAAAGTCTTTTATGGACAGAGCCAGGAGGTGGGTATTTATTTCATAGGTGTGACATGCAAACTGAAACACACGAACCACAGCCACTTCAGGTTTTATCAAGACCAAAGTCAGCCTTTCCATCTGTCAATCACAAGCCTTCCTGAGTTATCAAGGGAGTGTCCTCTTTTGGACTTGAAGCCTCTGCAGGGTTCTGAGCAGGCAGAGATGGGCCACTGGAGTAGCTGTACGTGGGAGTTAAGGGGCAGGTTAGTCCAACCTTTTCACATTACAAGTGAATGTTGTTATTTACATTACAAAGCACACAAATGTCTTTCTCTCTTTGGTTTTTTTCAAGACAGGCTTTCTCTGTGTAGCTTTGTAGACCAGGCTGGCCTCGAACTCACAGAGGTCTGCCTGCCTCTGCCTCCCCAGTGCTAGCAGTAAAGGCATGCACCACCAACTCCTGGCTTCTCTCTTTCGTTTTTCAAGACAGCATTTCGCTGTGTAGCCGTCTGTCCTGAAACTCAGAGATCCACTCGCCTCCTGTCCCAAGTTCTGAGACTTTTTTCCCGAGACAGGGTTTCTCTGTATTGCTTTGGACCTAGCTTGGTAGACCAGGCTGGCCTTGAACTCACAGAGACTCACCTGCCACTGCCTCCTAAGTTCTGGCATTAAAGGCCTGCGCCACCACCTGGTGTAAAAGTGTTTTTTAAAGATTTATTTTTAATTGTGTGTATGTGTCTGCCAGTCTGTCTGTGTCTTTTGTGTGTTTATGAGTCTGTGTGTGGGTGCAAGTGCCCAGAGGCCAGAAGGCACTGGATCCCTTAGACCTGAAGTTACAGGAGGGCGAGCTGCCCGATGTGTGTGCTGGGAATCAAACTCTGGTTTTCTGCAAGAGTGGTAGCTACTTTTAGCCCCTGGGCCATTGCTTCCACCCCCCCCCCCAATCTCATAATGCTTTAAAAGACTATAATTTTGTGTTGGGCTTCCATTGTAGCTGTCCTTGGCTGCCTGCAACTGCATGCTGCCCATGGGCTGCAGGTTGGATGTGTTTGAAAGTTCACTGAGGCGTGTCTTACCTGGAGTAAAGGTTTGTAGCTGTGGAACGTGATCTGAAGCAGGAATCGTGCCTTCAGTGGGTGTGGTTAGGATAGGCTTTGCTGCTAGGGTGCATGTTTCTCTGAAAGGTTCCTGCTCGAGACTGTCAGAAACCAGGGAAGGTCTGCTGGATGGTGCGCATTCCTAACAACTTCATTCATTCACAGGAAAACATCAAAGCAGGCTCCCCAGAAAGGACTTACTCTCAGTACAAAACTAACAATCTCTTATATTTTTGACTGTGAGCCTAGCCTTTACTGGCTGAGCCATCTCTCCAGCCCAAAACTGACAATCTCAACAGCACTTTAAAAAAAAGAGATGTGTGTAGCTGGGCATAGTGGCACACACCTTTAACCCTAGCACTCCAGCAGAGGCTGACAGATCTTTGTGAATTCAAGGTCAGTCTAATCTACAAAGCGAGTTCCTGAACAGCCAGAGCTACATAGTGAGAATTCTGCCTCAAAAAACAGATTCTTTAGTGGGGTGTGGTGGCACACGCCTTTAATTCCAGCACTAAGGAGCCAGAGGCTGGTGGATCTCCGAGTTTGAGGCCAGCCTGGTCTACAGAGTGAGTTCCAGGGTAGCCAAGGCTACACAGAAAATCTTGTCTCAAGAAACAAAAATAAAACAACAAAAAAAGTGTTTGTGTGATGTGTATGAATGTTTTTATGTGTGTTCAGGTGGAGGCCTCAGGCAATCATTAGGGGTCTTCCTCCATCCCTGTCCCCCTTACTGACAGTATGGGGGGGTCTCCCACTTGAACCCAGAGCTCACAGAACCCAGAGCTTGCCACATTCTAGTCTAGCTAGCTAGCTTGCTCTGGAGTTCCCATGTCTACCTTCTGAGTGAGTGCTGGCTCCCATCTGGCATTTACACTGTTGCTGGGGATTCGAACTCTGGTTCTCATGCTTTTTTTTTTTTTTTGTTGCTTGTTTTTGTTTTTTTGAGACAGGGATTCTCTGTATTATTTTGGAGCCTGTCTTGGCACTCACTCTGTAGACCAGGCTGGCCTCGAACTCACATAGGTCTGCCTGCCTCTGACTCCCAAGTGCTGGGATTAAGGCATATGCCACCACCCACCTGGTCCTCACGCTGACACTAATGCTTTCTTTAGGCACCAAACCATCTCCCCAGATATTATAAGTATTTAGC